CTTTAGTGGTCAGGTGGGTGGTGTTCATGGGCTGCACGGAGAGAGGCATCCTTCAAACCTGCACTCCACTCTGGGGGGCTGTAAATGAGATTTTAGCTGCTAAGAAGTGCTGGTGCCCTGCAGTCACCACTGAAAACCGAGGATGTGCTTTAGATGAAGGAGTTCTGAGGGCTTTGGGAAGGGTGGAGATGTTGTGGTCGGACGATTGGGGTTTGTCACCTGCTGCACGTTCATTTTGGAGCCACACTGTGCCCCTTCCAGCCCCCCAGCCTGTCTGTGCTCTGGGGCTGCCCCTGAGCCGCCTTTCCTCACGTCTTGCCGTGGGCTCTGATGTTCCAGCACCCCAAAACTCGTGTTGTCAGCAGAGCTGCAGCTCTGGCACCCCAAAGGCTGGTGCAGCAGCTCCAGCTGATGCAATGGGAGAGCAAGCAGTGACCTGTCCCATCTCAGCTCCTGGGGAGGCAAGGATCCAGCAGAGAAGAGGGGTGGGAGCCGGGGGGAGGGACGAGTCAGGGAAAACAAACCGTTTGCTGCCTTCCTCTTGCTGGTGGCTTTCATCAGAGGGAAGGCAGTGACAGCACAGTGACCCTCTGCCACAGCAGCTCCCAAAATAAACGATGATTGCATTGAAACACGAGGCTGGAGAGAGAGACCTCGGTGCTAATTTAATAAATTGCTTGCATTTAGGATTGTTGCCGGTGGGTTTTGTGCTCTGTGGTGCCACCTGGGATTCAGGGGGAGGAGGGGAGAGGCAGAAAGGCAGAAAGCTGCCCAGGCCCGTTAGCAACCGCTGGTGTGACCTCACTCCGGGTCCCGGGGGGTATGAGATCATGAGCATGCCAGAGCTCTCCGAAGGATTCGATTTGTCGGGAGCAGCAGGATGGCCTGCGAGTGATCTCATCCCCAGCCCCGGGGGAAGGGCGCTGGCTGCTGCCTCGCCGGCTGCCAGGACTTAATCCCCACTCCAAACCTCCCCAATTAGCGATTGGCCTGCGGTGACATCACTGATGACAAAGCGATCTGGGGCAACACGGCAACATTCCAGGGGAATTTCCCCTTCTCCGCGATCTTACCGAACGCGAGGGTTTTTGACGAACCCGAATCTCTCAGCCCAGATAATGTCAGTGCAGATGAAGGATCGCCCTGGGCTCGGCGTGCCCTGCCCCCCGCGTGGGACATAAACCGCTCCTCATTAGGGCCGGCCCTAAATTAGATCCCCTTGTTCCTCGGGTAAGGAATTAAAATAGAATTGTTAAAATATTAAAGTAGAAGCGATGTGGTGAGAAAAAAAGGCGCTTCACAGTTGCACCTTGTGGTTGCAGTGAGCCGGGAGGGAGTGTGTGTCGCCTCATCGAGAAGGGAAGGCTTTCCGTGCCAAACAAACACCAGGGTGGCAGGGACAGCTCTGCTGAAGGTTTGCACGGGATGTTGCCCATCTCTTTTGAGAGAGCAGCGTTTGAACCATCGTGTATCCCCCTCCTCCCCCCCTTTCTTCCTTAAGGTCCTCAGGAAGTATTTTGAATTTCAGTGCCCTGAGGGTTTGTTTTTCACCACCGGTCTTTTTATCTTTGCATTGTACAAGAGCCACCACACACCTGAGTGGGAGGGCAAGGGTAAGGATGCTGGTAAACAGATAATTGGTTTGATCTGGAAAGTTGTCAGGAAGTCTGATGTCACCTTACATTTAATCCCTGCACCTTCAGAAAGGTATAAAATCAAAGAGACTTACCTTGCTTCCCTTTTCTCATAATGAATAGCATCTACTATTTACATCCTATTAATCTGCTGCTGGTGCCCTGCACGTTAAGATGTGTGTCCATAACCTGCTCTGGAATGTAAAATAGCAAACTCTGGAAGAGCTGGGTGAGTGGCAGAGCAGGAGGAGCACTGTGACAGAATGAAGTGACAGTTCTCACTGCCAGGCACTGCAGAGTTCAGTGGCTGCAGACAAAGCAGGTCCCTGCAGCACTTCCCAGAGCGAGCACCAGCCCTGCTCTTCCTTTGGCCTCCTGGTGATTCCCATCTCCCTCGTGTGGCTTTACAGGGCAAGTTTTACCTGGTCATCGAGGAGCTGAGCCAGCTGTTCCGATCCCTGGTCCCCATCCAGCTGTGGTACAAGTACATCATGGGGGATGATCCCTCCAGCAGCTACTTCCTGGGAGGAATCCTCATCATCACCTACAGCCTCTGCAAGGTCAGCACCACCTCTTCAGTCACCTCTGGCACAGCTGAAGGGATCAAGGACCCCCTGAGGCTGTTGCTGTCACTGCCCAGGAGGGACCTGCAGGGTGGGGACACTTTGCATCCCCAGCCTGTGGGCACTGCAGAGCTGGGGAGGGTCTGTGGCTGCTCAGGGGTGTTGCATCAGCCTCATGAAGTCATTGCAGCTCTCTAATGCCTTCCTGCACAGGCTGGAGGAGCAGGGGGAGCAGTTCTGGCACGGTCAGCTGTCTCCAGGCTCCCAGAGGCAGCACTGAAAGGCAGGGTGCAGTTTAGTGTTTCCCTCCGAGCTTTCCTCTGCCTCTCCGGGCAGAGTGGGTGCTGTGTCACTCACAGCAGGCAGGGAGAGGGGTATCCCAAGTCCTGCCTGCAAGAAAACAAGTAGTTCTGCCCTGTTCCAGGTCCTGTCTGGCTGCTGCAGGTCCAGGATCCCCCGATGGACAGGGGTAATTAATGTGTCCTCAGAAATAAGGATGTGAAGAGCACAAAATCTGTCTGTATAGTTGTGAGCAGGTGTAACTTTATAATTCAGAGTCCCAAGTCTGAGGTGTAGAAATAGCTGCATTTCTAACTGTGTGTGTTGAACCCTGCCCAGGGGCAAGCAGGGGGTATCCCAGTGTTATCCATCCCTCTGAAGGAGGCCAGGTGAGTGGGGCTGGCTCCATCCCTGATCCCTGCCCGTGCCCCTGGCTTTGCAGGAGCAGACTGAAGAGCAGGGAGGAGGAAGCACATCCCAGCTGAAAACAGCTCAGAGGGGCTGAGCAGCTCTGAATCACACTGCAGCTCTCACTGCTGCAGCTCCAACTCCATGCTGTGTAGGAACAGGGCCTGTTTGACCCCTGCTGTCAAGGAATTGTCAGTTCTTGTAGGCAGGACAGGCAGAGGAGGTCGTGGGAAGTAAAGTGATTTGGTCACAGAAGGTCTGAGATCAAACCAAAAGAGTGCCAGAACAGGAGCACATGAGAGCAGTGCAGCTCCTGCACCCCCAGCAACGCCCTCAGCTCTGTGTTCCCTGCTCTGCACTCTTCTGAGGGAGAGGATTGTTGCCCCTTTCAGAGATGCCACTGCCTGGATCCCCTGCAGGCAGCAGGATCCGGCCCTTCCCTGCCCTCCTGGCAGCTCCATGGTGAGGCAGCTCCAAGATAAACCCAGGACATCATCCCTGGGTCAGGATCAGGCCTGGCAAAGGCAGCCAGGGCCAGGGGGGTGGTGGGCAGTCACTCCACGTGCTGGGGTTCCAGGTCAGTGGGATCTGTAGGTGGGCACAGGCATGGCTGAACTGCAAACCAGCACTGGCATAAGCACAGCTCTAACAGAGCTGAGCCCTCCAGAGCTGAGCTTAAATGGAGCTGCAGAGCCCAGGGCAGGGGCTGTGGGTGCAGAGCCCAGGGCAGGGGCTGTGGGTGCAGAGCTCAGGGCAGGGGCTGTGGGTGCAGAGCTCAGGGCAGGGGCTGTGGGTGCAGAGCCCAGGGCAGGGGCTGTGGGTGCAGAGCTCAGGGCAGGGGCTGTGGGTGCAGAGCCCAGGGCAGGGGCTGTGGGTGCAGAGCCCAGGGCAGGCTGTCAGGGCCAGGAGGGGCTGTTAATGCCCCCAGGGCTCGCTGGAGTGAGCAGTTTTTGGGGTTCTGTACTGTGAAGCTTCTACAGGTGGTGTGGGGTGCCCTGGAGTGGAAAAGCCACCCCATTTTGGACAGTTCTGCTGGTCTGTTCTTTAGGAGCTCCGTGAGGGCAGGACAGCTGTTTTCCAGCCAGGACTGTGGGGCACACTTGGGAAGGTGCCTTGGCTGCAGCTCATTCCCATTCCCATGACAGGCACTTTCCTTCCTCGAATTCATCCAGCTCCTCGGGGGACAGCAGAGGGACAGGCCAGGGGGAGGGTGGTAAAGCCAGGGACGTGTCCCAGGTCATTGTGTGGCAGCTCCTGAGCGTGTCCAGCTCAGGATCAGCCCCCTGCACACAGAGACTCTGCTTGGAAAGGAAGGGAAAGTGGGATCACGCTCCTCCAGCCCGGAGCACGGAGTACCAGGTGTGTGCATCCCATTTACAGCCACAGGAGCTGCAGGTCTGAGAATATCCCAGAGGAGCCCCCATTAGCAAAGCCACAAACCACAGCAGAAAAGCCACAGAAGCCAATTTGGCACCGAGAGCTCCTGGCAAAATTCCAGGGCTCAGCTGGGGCTGCAGCCCCTGCCCTGCACAGAGGGCAGGGGCACTTCCAGAGGCTTGTGTGTCCTGCGGCTCCTGAGAGCTGTCCTGGTGCCTCTCTCGGGGCTGTGTAGGCACAAACCCTCTGGTTTTGGTGAAGAAATCCCAGATGTTCACCAGGAAGAGCATTCAGGGGTTATTTTGTCCCTGTCCTGAACAGGAGCACTCACTGTCTGTGACCCAGCTGTTAAAATGATGAGGGGTGACTGATGCAACACACTGCAGTGTGTGGGTGAGAAAGGGGTGTTGGACCACTGAAACAGCAGCTTTTGGGGTACAGGGGGGGAAAAATGAAGGGGGAAAGTGGACTGGGAGAAGAGGAAAGACATCAGAGCTGGAGCAAAGGCATCAGAAGCCACACTGTAAGCAAAGCAGCCAGAGAAAGCTGCGAGTTGGCCTGTGGGAAAGAGCTGATCCTCGTTAGGAGGTGAAGAGTCCGTAGCAGTGGCAGCTCCAGTGGTAGTTGCTGACTGGAAGCATTACTGGAAGGACCCTGGGAGCCTTTTACATGCTGACTGGAAGCATTATTGGTGCCATCATTTGATTGCACAGCTAGTGCAGGATGATCTCACCGGGAGCCCACTTAGTCCTGCTAACCAAGGAAGAACAGCAGGGAGCCAACTCCAGGCACTGAGGTGCCTCTGCAGGGCTGGCCCTGCAGCATCACCCCTGCCCTGCCCTCCAGGGGGTCCAGGCAGGCCATCAGCCTGGGGGTAGCAGATCCCTTCCCTTCCCCTTTCCCTTCCCCTTCATCTTCCCTTCCTTCTGGCACCACTGTGACTTTCCCCTCCCCTCCATTTCCTGAATTTCTGGACTGTAAACACACACACACACAGAGTTTCTGAAAATTTTCTGAAATGAGACGTTTTTATTGCAGTCTTTTGACATCTGTGGCCGTGTGGGAAGTGTCAGGAAGGCACTGAAGGTCCTCTGCACCCCCCAGGTAAGGAACTGCACATAAAAGAGCAACTTCAGAGGTGAAATGGTTACTGTTGGAGGATGGAGCTGAGAATTGCTCAGTGTGTCCTTCGTGGAATAGAACCACGTGCTGTGCCATGGCTGGACAAGCTGTTCCCCCTGCCAGGGATGTTGGGAACCTCTCCTGACACCTGCCCTGTCCCAGCTGTGCTGAGAGGCTGTTCCTTTGTCTGACTGGAGTTCTGTGTGATGTGGATTAATCCCCTGAGGCCAAACCTGCAAGGATCTGACAGGACCTTGCAGTGCAGAGTGTGAGAAGGGTTTAACCAGAACCCTGCTGTGCCTTATGTGCAGTGACATTCCAAGAGACCAGGAGTTATCCCAGGCACTGCCCTGCCAGCACCGCTGTTTGGATGTGCTGCACTGACGTGCTGGGACAACAGGGACACACCCACTGAAGTTCCTGGAGCTCACCCTGCCTGTTCTGTGGGCCTGGGCTGGTCCTTTTCCCTCAGCAAGTTTCTGTTTACCCCCGTCCTGTTAAACTGGGGGAAACATTTACCCTCCACATATCTGAAAGGAAAAGTGGGTGCTGCTGCTGTTATTCCTTCTCCTGTTGTCTAACTGATAATAATAATAATAATAATAATAATAATAATAATAATAATAATAATAATAATAATAATAATAATACCTCCTATGTGTGAACACTCTGCCAGTGATGCTGAGTTCATCCCTCCAGCTCCCCGCTGAGCTCACTGAGTGTCATCATCGTTGCTGCACAAGTGGAGGCATCAAAGGGTGGAATCAGCTGCTGCCAGACCTCCCTCCCCACGCAGGGACACGACACCAGTGTCCCTCCCAGGCCTGTTTTTACACTCCCTGAGCCTCCAAACCCTTGCTCACTGGGATTTCCCCCCCCCTGTCCCCGCAGACCTACGGGGTACGTGCCACCAGCCAGCAGTGCAGCGAGGCAGGAGACATCTGTGCCATCTGCCAGGCGGAGTTCAGGGAGCCCCTGATCCTCATGTGCCAGGTAAGAGCCCAGACCCTCCTGCTGGCATTCCTTTGGTTCCTCTGCAGCTGGGAGAGGCACCTCGGGAAACATTGGCTGGGTCTTGGCCTGGGTCCTGCTGGGGGCTGTTGATGGACCAGAGGAGCTCATGGCAAGGCTGCAGGTGCTGCCCCAGCGTTTTCCCTTTGGGCTTTATCTGCTGGGGTTGGGATCCTGCATCCTGGAGGGGCAGGAAAACCCCGGGCACAGGGAAGGGAGGGGGTGGGATAGGAGCTCTCTGGCATTCATGGGAAGGGGACACTGGGCACTGGGAGCAGAATAAAGCCAATGCAAGGGGCAGGGGGGGAAAAGGGGGTAAAAGTAAAGATGGAAACGTGGCAGAGAAAACCTCTCCCTGCCCTGTTAGGCCTTTTTAATGTTCCTCTCTAGTGCCATATTAAGAAATAATAAATCACTGGCTTTGGCAAACGAACTGATGTGCTGCTAATGCTGGGATTTATTTTCCACGCGGGCATCGCTGCCGTGGATCCCTCCCTGCTCCTGTGGGGACAGGGGGGCCCCTGCTGCCTGGTGACACTGCCCTTGTCCCCCCAGCACGTGTTCTGCGAGGAGTGCCTGTGCCTGTGGTTCGACAGGGAGAGGACGTGTCCCCTGTGCCGCTCGGTCACCGTGGACACCCTGCGCTGCTGGAAGGATGGCACCACCTCTGCCCACTTCCAGGTCTACTGACACAGGGCAGGGGAGAGGAAAACCTGGACAGTCACCCCGTGCCCCCATTTGGCTGCCCCCAGTGTTTGTTGTCAGCCCCTCCCAGCTCGGGCCCTCCAGGAGCACCAGAACAGCCGGCACCGGCCAGGAACTGCGGCCTCCGAGGCAAGGGCAGGTGGTTTGTGTGGTTCAGCCAAGGGTTTTCCCTGAGCTGGTGTGGTTATGAACTGCTTGGGATGTTCCCTGCCTCCCTGTCCTTTCAGCATGGACAAATCCCGCGTGGACAAGGCACGGGAACTGTGGATTCCGTGGGTACGAGCCGATGTGCTGGAGCAGAGCTGTGCCTGGCTCTGCCGAGGGCTCTCCCATTCTATGGCCCCACATTCCCTGGATCCAGAGCTTTACAGGGTGGCACAGTGGCTGTTCCAGAACCTCTGGAGCTGCTCCCAAGCAGGGCTTCCTTCAGTGCCCAAAGGCCCCCTGGGGCTGGAGGATCGTCCTCTCCAGCAGCCCCGTTTGTGCAGTTGGTTCCAGCGATGGCACGCGCTGCGAGCGTAATCAAATCATTTACAAGTTGGGAAAGACCAGACAGGTGAAGCTGAGGATTACTCTTATTTTTCTTTGCAATGTTTTCCTTTTTATTTTTCATGGTGAGACTTTGTGATTTCCCAGCACATGAGAACAGTGGGAGACAGAGGGAGATTAAAGTGACAGACTCACAGGAGTCGAGTTGGATTTGTCTGGGTGAAAATCCGGCTCCAAACCAGGAGCATCCCACAAACTGAGGGGTCTCTGCACCCGCTCCAGGCCAGCCCCACTCACATCCAGCACCTGCCTGGGTCCCAAACCAGTGGGATTAAAGCTCCACATTTCCCTGGAAAGTGGCTGGAGGAGGGATGGTGGTGGGAGGCAGAGCCTGAGCAGGGAAGAGTCCAAACGTGGCTTGAGAGATGCAGGGAAGCAGAGGAGGAAAAGCTTTGCTTTCCAGGACAAAGTGATTTGATTCCCGTTGAAGGATCCTGGGAAAGCAGGGAATTAGCCCAAGGAACGTGGTTGCTGTCTGCAGTGGGAATGGCCCCTCTGGGATGGGGGAGGCAGGAAGCAGGGCTGGCAGTGGGCACAGGGATGGGGTTGTGTGTGACAGGCTGGTGTATCCATTGGGAAGAGGGAAAAAGGAGGGATTCCAGGGCAGGCAGTTCCTGAAAGGCCCCAGTGCCAGTTTTCAGGGAACCAAAGGGGTGGTGCTTCTGCTTTCCAAGGGTTTGAAAAGCCACTTCTGATTTGGTTTTTTTCCCAAATGCTCCTGGAAAATGTGTCTGGGCATGTTTGGGAGAAGGTCAGAGGGGGCCAGCACTGCAGAAAGGGTGGGATGAGCTGCTCCAGAACCAGTCAGTGACTGATTGGGCAGGAAACCAAAGGGAAAGTTTGGGAATATTTTTTGAATTCTTACAGTCTCTTTGAGGGGGGAGGACAGTTCTACCATCCAGGGGAAACTTCAGCTCCAGTGATGGGAATCTGCTGATTTCCATGGGAGGAAATCACCCTGAGAGAGGAAATAAAAACCCAGAGCCTTTTTTTTTTTTTGCCATTGAACAGTTATTTTTCTCTTTTTTTTTTAATAAAGTCCTTATAAATATGTACAAAGAGTCTCAGCATACGAAATTCCTTTTACAAAAGACAGAAGCCCCTTCCAGGCAGGACCAGGAGCCTCCGTGGGCTCTGCTCCTGCCTCGGGGAGCTGGAAACCTGCACAGTGACTCTGCTGGAGTTACACCCGTGGCATTCCCTTAGCAACGCACCTGGGGGAGACCGGGGAGTGTCCTAAGGATTGATGATGGGAAGGGTTTTGTGGTGAACTGGTGTTTGAATCGACTGGAAAGGTGATGCTGGAAATACCCATGGAATTAAAATCCCCCACCCCGAGCTGGGTTTGCTCTGCTGAGGAGCCACCTCGAAGTGATGGTGTGAGTAATTAAGAGGGTAACTAATCAAGGGGGTAACTAATCAAGGGGGGTAACCATAATGGGGGTAATTAATAAAGGCCATTTAACACCTGGAAGCTTCCAGGGAATATTTATCAAGCTCCAAAGTCACTTTCTGTAAATATTAAACCCCTCAGGGAACTCGAGCCCTCGGGTTTTCCTGCCCAGTGAGGTTGGATCAGTCACATCAGAATTCCCTCCTGTGTTCAAATAAATATTGTTGGGAAAAAAAGATCCGCTCGTTCTTGTGTTTTGTAGTTTAATTTATTTTTTTCCCAGATGTGGGCACTGGACATGCTGGAACAGCAGCTTCTCCCACTCCTGTGGAGGGCAGAGCTGTGCTTGGAAGTGCCACGTGCTGGGATATGAGAGATCCTTGTGCTGCAGGTGGAGTGTGATCCAAGCCACTGGGACTGTCCTGTGCTGGGAACAAAGGTGGCCCCTGGAATGTGAGGGGTCGAACATTCCGGCCGGGACAGGGTGAGAAGCCCAAGGCAGGAGCAGCACATGAGGATCCCTCCCCTCCACTTCCTCTGGAAGCCCAATTCCCATGTCATTCCCACTCGAAATCTCCTGGATTTTGGGCTGGCATGGCCAGTGTCCCCTCCTGGTGTGGGTCCAGCTCACACCCAGCCCAGGGGAACACGGGGACGGGGCCGACTCTGAGGCCTGGGCTGAAAACCCAATTTGCTGGGAGCAAATAACAGGTACTTTGTTATTCCCACCTCACGCTGCTGTCGAGATCCTGGACAGAGGTTTTAAACCATTCCTAGGAAAATCGAACATTAAGGTGGATGCACCTCTGTGTCCTCACTGTGGGCCGTTTTGCACGTGGCAGTGCAGTTTTCCAGCAGGGAATTGCCTCATTGCAGGCTCTGTGGACACAGAGACTGCAGCAGCTCACCCAGTTCTGTCTGCAGAGGGGCTGAGGGGCAGGCACAGCCTCTGCCAGGGCTTTTAAGACCCCTGTAATTTACTGTGATATAGAAACATGATTTTAGCGTGACAGAGACAAAACAACTCGGATGGAATTGATTCAGGAAGTGTTGGTGATTTCAGGGAATTCTTCAGTGACTGGCTGGGCTGGATGAGGGCGATCCCTGCTCTGCAGCAGGAATGGGATGGGTTTCCCCCCCCTCCTCACTCCCAGCTCCCCGGGTTGGGTGATTTGCTGCGTGTCTGTGTTGGTGATGCCTCTCCTGGGCACACAGAGGTGTCTGACAGGAGGCCTGGTCCCATTCCTTATGTTTTTACCCCTGACCATAGTTGTGGGAGAAGAGGGAGGGCTGTGGAATGTGCGTGCTGAACCCGGGCTGGGTTTGGGAGCCAGCGGGGCAGCCTGGGACTGACCCCGCCAAATCTGAGCAGCAGGACAGGAGGTGACCAGCACCCACTCTGGGCTGCTCTTCCCCCTTGGAATACAGAATTCCAGCCAGTGCTGGGAGCTGCCTTAGCCGAGGGCTGCTTTAAAAATTCATCCCGGCTTTCCCCGCAGCCGCAGGAGCGGCGGCAGCGCAGGCAGACAATGATCTCAGCCCCCCTGAAACCCGAGATGGGGCCTTTTGTTTCCCTTCAGAAAAAAAAGCATTCCCTGGTCCTCTCCCAGCTGATCCAAACCCGGGGCTGCGAGAAAACAAGCAGGGGGAGAGAGGAACTGTGCTGGTTTCCTGCCCACGAGGAGGGCACAGACACTGCCCGGCTGCGGCAGGGCAGGGAATTCACGGGGAATTCACAGGGAATTCACAGGGAGTTCACAGCGAGTTCACAGCATGCATCCCTTGCCAGTACAAACATCACCCAGGGGGAAAGCAGATCTTCTAAAAACGATAAAAACACCCCTTGTCAAAAAACGGAGGCAATTCAACAATAGCAATTACACCAGAAAATGTAAGGCTTCGACAAATCCGCGCCCTCGAGTAAGGAATTCCGGGTCTGTACAGGGAATTCTGGCTATAAAACTCCCAAATTAACCCTCAGTTCATGCTAAACATCCACTTTGGAACTACAAAAGTGAAGCAAATCGGGATTAAAGCGGGATTTGGGGCACTGGAGCTGCTCTGGACCCCACCCGGGAAGCAGCCCAGGTTTGGTTGTTCCACGGCAGCACCACGGGGCTTTAACTTTTTTGCGGAGTGTTTGGAAGCCCCCAGGAGACCAATCCCCTGGGAGCTCTGAGGTTTGGGAATCTTACAGAGGGTTGGGATGGAGGGAGAACAGCCAATCTCTGCCCTGAGGCTCATCCCTGACTGCGGGGGCTCTCCCGAGGCAGGGCTAGAACTTCCCCCTCCCTTTTCCATCACTGAGCTGTTCCAGGGGAATTGCCTCTGCGGGAAGGGCTCCAGGAGAGCCTGGAGGCTGCAGGGGCAGGAGAACCAGGGGCACTGCCCAGGGAAAATGGGATAATGCATCTGCAGGGAGGAGTGAGTTACATTCAGAGCTGACAGAGGTGAGGAATCCGCGCCCTCTGAGGGAGCTCTCCTAGCTCCTGGCCTGTCCCGGGAATGCCTCGGGACACTCCCCGGACTGGGGAAGGACAGACCTGCAGGTGCCACATCCAGCCCTCCCCCATCAGTGATTCCTGCTCCAGTGGCATTGGGTGATTCCACACACACAATTCCACCTTGGAGTGACTTGCAGAAATTCCTGTTTTTAAGACTGCCCAGTCCAGCACTGGCAGCACTGCTGGAATCACTGTTGGAATCACTCGAGGCTCCTCCTCTTGCCAAAAGAACTTACACTTCTTTCAGCAGGAGACTGAGCTGGGAGTGGGCTCAGGATGCCCAGGATTACTGAGCATCAGGCCAAAAACAGCAGGAAAATGTTTCCCTGGATCCTGAGACCATCCCAAGGCTGTGGAGAGACAACCAGGGGGCTACAGATCCCAAGGCTTCCCCCTGGGAACCACCTGCCCTTCCAGCACAGCCCCTGGGGGCACTGAGTGGGATCAGGAACAGCCAGGAACTGACTGACCAGTCCACGGATTGATCAGGAACACCCAGGGCTGTGCCTGAGGGGCTCCAACAGGGAATCTTTGACAAGGGGAGAATCCGGCTTTCAGCTTGTTTGGAAACATTGCTGCTGCAGCAGTGAAAGGGCAGGGGCTGCATGAACACTCCGCTTCCTCCCGGGCTGGGAGACGGGTGGGGAGTGTTTTTAGAGGACAAGGAGCCAAACTTCCTTTGGAAATGGG